TCTTGTATATATACAAAATAAAAAAGTTCAAAAACTGTGATAAGTTAATGGCGTCACAAATATTAACGTTTTCTGTGCTTCGGATTCGATTGGTTAGGTACATAACCATCACCATACGAACCATACGCCATAACCATCACCATACGAACCATACGCCATAACCATCACCATACGAACCATACACCATAACCATCACCATACGAACCATACACCATAACCATCACCATACGAACCATACACCATAACCACACACCATACGAACCATACACCACCATACGAACCATACACCACATCACCATACGAACCATCACCATACGACCATAACCATCACCATACGAACATACACCATAACCATCACCATACGAACCATACACCATAACCATCACCATACAACCATACACCATAACCATCACCATACGAACCATACACCATAACCATCACCATACGAACCATACACCATAACCATACCATACGAACCATACACCATAACCATCACCATACGAACCATACACCATAACCATCACCATACGAACCATACACCATACACTTGCTGGGGGTTCGTATGTTTCTAGTTAGAGCAGGATGTTGGATTTTTTATGGAGTGATAAATGAAGAGAGCGGCGGCCCACAGCACGACGGGAAAGTGTTGTGTGACGGGGTCCTCAGCAACACACACATGCAAACACCTCCCAGGCTTCTCAGACTCGTGGAATGATGTATACTCACCATAACCTGTGTGGGTGTAACTCGCACCATCAGCCATTCACAATTCTGGCTACTATCGCTTGTGAATGGGAATACCATTCACAAGCAGTCGTGTGATCCATGTTGTGCATACCAAACATTGGGAGCCATATTGGCTATGCCATCCACCATTAGTCATAGGAACCATATGAGCATACCAAACATTGGAAGCCATATTGGCTATGCCATCCACCATTAGTCATAGGAACCATATGAGCATACCAAACTTGGGAGCCATATTGGGCACTGGGAGCCATACTGGTGATGGTGGTGCTCATCTCACAGGCGCTTGTGGCCCACTGCCATCAGTTCTGGAGGACGTAGATTCACAGTGATGCGGTCGGCTTTGTTGGTTTAGTTGAGATTATTATTCTTATCATTTTTGTGGTCGTAATGATGGTTGCCGTTGGTAATGGTGGTGGTAGTGGTGATGGTGGTAATCGTGGTTGTGATGGTGGTAATTGTGGTTGTGATGGTGGCATTTGTGGTGGCTGTGTGAGTGTGTGTTCAACACATCGCATTATAACTTGCGATACTGAGCCGGGCAACATCGCCAGATTAGGCCATGACAAATCGGTTCCTGAAAGAATTAAGACCAGGGTAAAGATGCCACGAGTAAAGGGTATCAAAGAGTGTACAGCCACAGTTGCTGAGGAAGGAGACCAGGAGGCCGCAGAATGCTGAAGATATATAGCAAGATGACTCTCAAGGTTGCGTTGCCCTTCCCTTGGTACTCATAAACATGCTTACCTTAGGGCGAGTAGCACCACATGCCGCCTCCCCTGAAGGTTAGGGCACAAGAATGAAGAACAATTTTTATTTATATTACTTCTAAGCTGCATCACTTATGAACCCATCCCTGCCCTTGTGTGGCAGTGCACAATAGAAAGTTGTTTTCGCATATCCATACATTAAAACATTGATTGTAACCGTGATATATATGTGCTTCCGCCTACAGTTTAGACCTATTGTCTTATGTATGACCGTATGTAAGCGGCTCGCGAAATTGATATACTGTCCCGTTTTGTGTTCTCTGGTCGGTTAGCACTTTAAAACGACAGTTTCTTGACGTTGGGAATCCTTAGTAGGACGGGCTGCTGTGTGCCACTGTAGTGATCTGTGCTCAGACCATTGCTCTCTCTTCTTCCCTTGCCTTCGTTCCTCTTCCCCTCCCTTGTTCACCCTCCCTTATTTCCTTCCCCCTCCCCTCCCATTTGTCACAGTCCGGCCCTCACCGGTCATAACTCATGAAGTCAAGAGACCCCTGGAGGCTGGACAGTCCCTCTCATTCCTGGCCCTCTCCTTCCCACTCATTTCCCTCTCTACCCCCACTCTTTCTCCTCTCCCATGCCTTTCTATAGCCATTGCCAAATTTGAAGGGCAGTAAAACCGTAGTTCTCAAATTTTCGTTTGGGTGGCTGGTGCCATACACTCCCTGCCCTTTCCTGGGATGTAAGTGTGGGAACGATTGAGAACTCTGTCAAGGTAAAGAGATCCTTCAGGACATGCCTAGCCTAGCCAGGAGCCTTGATTGGTGGAAGCCAGGGAGGCCTAGGTGGGCGGAGCTAGTCAAGGCATTTTGGCTGGCTGGATCAAGGCCTAGAGCAAGACTTTGTACTCATTGGCTCTAGTCGGGGAGAGGCGGGGTTTATTTGGACCTAAGGAACTTAGAATGGGTGGAGCTTGTTTTCCACTGGTAGCTTGTTAAGAAAATTATAGTTAGTGTGCCTGGTGTAGGACTTGGGAACAGGTCAGGTGACCTGGAGGGCAGCCACTCGACATCTGTGGCCGGTTTTGCAGGAAAAGGTAATGTATGTCTGAGTTTTGGTACATCAAAGTAATTGCATTCCAGATTATATTGCCTCTTAAAGATTTAATTAGAGTAGGATATATTTCAATTTGATTTCAATATACGTGTCTTTAATAAAGTGATTATTAATGTATTTTGTTTTGTTTGGTTATCTGTCCCCTTTTATTAGTGCCGAGTCATTTTTATATGTTGCGTTAAGATGCTGTACTAGAAATCCCCCCGTGTTCTCCTCCATTTCATGGATATTAGAGTTACCCTTGAATCCTCAATAAGTAAAGTAAAGATTTACATTTTAATCCCCAAGCATTATTGCCAAGGTTCCTATGCCTTTGAGTTCATGATTATTGATTTCTGTCCTTCCTGGGAGACTAGTAATAGACACATTCAGGCTCTGGTCAGTAAGGTGGTGGCAGTGTACAATTAAGTTTTTATTCATTATTTTAAAATTAATAAACCCTTCATTTGTTGCTCCCCCTCATTTAATATTTCAGATTTAATATTAGCTGGTAGTTCAGTGAAGGGTCACAGTGATCTGCAAGCAGTGTTCAGCTGGTGTGTTAAGTGAGTAAGGGGAATAGCACGGGGAGTAATTATAATATCCTACTGCTGGCACTATTGTAATAACCCCTCCTCTGCTATTCCCCTTACTCACTTAACACCCCAGCTGAACACTGCTTGCAGATCATTGTGAACCTCACTGAACTACCAGCTAATATTAAATCTGAAATATTAAATGAGGGGGGGGGGAGCAACACCCCCCCCCCCCCCCCCCCCCCCCCCCTGCCTGGTGCTGGCACCACCACGTTCTGCCTGGTGCTGGCCGCCCACCACGTTCTGCCTGGTGCTGGCCGCCCACCACGTTCTGCCTGGTGCTGGCCGCCCACCACGTTCTGCCTGGTGCTGGCCGCCCACCCCCTCTTACCAACACCATCCATCATTTCGACTACAGCTTGATCTCTTACTTTTTTCACGAGAGAAGGTGTCTGTACCTACACGACTAGTCTCGTGTGTATGGAGGCATTAAGATGCCATCTTTTCTCTCTGATAACGAAGAAATTCAAAATAAGCCTTGAAATAGAAGCCAAGAGAAGAGCGCGTATGATACAATAGAGGTAATGCGAGGAGTGTACACGTAGGCAGGACGGCGGTGGTGGTGGTGGTGGGCGGGGAAGATGCCTCTACACTCTTGCCAAGTATTGTTGAGGTATTCTGGGCGCCCGGGTGCGTCACTGCCTCCCTCCCCTTTCTCCCTCTCCTGGTCCCCTCTCTCCCTCTCCTGGTCCCCTCTCTCCCTCTCCTGGTCCCCTCTCTCCCTCTCCTGGTCCCCTCTCTCCCTCTCCTGGTCCCCTCTCTCCCTCTCCTGGTCCCCTCACTCCCTCTCCTGGTCCCCTCACTCCTCCTGTTCTGCAAAACCTAATTATAAAACCATCACTGCTGGGGAGCGGTAACCATTCACTGCTAGGAAGAGGTAACTGTTCACTGCTCAAAGGTCCTGAACAAAAGTTAAAGAGACTTTCACCGACGTTAATATGTTCAAATTTAACTTGTGCTGCTGGCACCCGACTGACAGGATGCATCTTGAACACGCCAATAAGAAACTAAATTCGAATCTCATGATCATGATATAACCACAACCAATCTTGTGTAATAAAGTTAAATCCAAGAAAAGGGGAGTGTATGAGAAGATAATGTACAAGGGCAAGTGCTAGAGCCTCACTAAGCTCACCTGGGTGCCATGGTTTCTCTTCTCAGGGGCGAAGGATCCAATCAAACACAATTAGAGATGGTATATATATTTATATAATATTTATGTATTTTGCCGCTATCTCTCGTCCCACTGGGATGTACTGGTTCCCGTTCCTCTTGAGCATTGGTCTGCCTGCTCTGGTCTCAATAATCCTGAGTCTTGAGCATCGGTCTATTAGCCACATTCTTGCATTTCCGGGTGTGGAGGCCGGGTGTGTGTGTGGAGGCCGGGTGTGTGTGGAGGCCCGGTATGTGTGCGGAGGCCAGGTGTGTGTGGAGGCCGGGTGTGTGTGTGTGGAGGCCGGGTGTGTGTGTGTGGAGGCCGGGTGTGTGTGTGTGTGGAGGCCGGGTGTGTGTGTGTGGAGGGCGGGTGTGTGTGGAGGGCGGGTGTGTGTGGAGGGCGGGTGTGTGTGGAGGGCGGGTGTGTGTGGAGGGCGGGTGTGCGGAGGGCGGTATTAGGCAGGGGTAGTACACATGCATCCCGGCTTGGCACGCATAACCCAGGGATGTCGTCAATAACTGCCAACCGGCAACTCGGTGCCATACATAATACCACCTCCCCCCAACCAGTTGCTTGACTGAGGACCGCACGCCAGGTTGGCCACGCCCACCGCTTCACAACCGCCAATAATCACTTGATGCATAACAACCATGATGTAGGAATGGCAGTTTGAGTAGGTAACGAGTGTCATCGTTGCAGGGCGGGCGTGCAGACCACTCCAGCGGCAGCAACCTCCGCGGCACCTCTGGTCAACGGCAGCCCGGCTCCGGCACCTTCCTCAGTGCCAGTCTCAGGGAGCCAACCTGGCATCAACACCAGTACCGCGGCGCGCAAAGAGGTAAGTGCCGCCCCCTCCCTCTCCCCAGCGCTCTCTCTCTTTCTCTCTCACTGTCTTCCTCTCATTCTCTCTCTCTCTCTCTCTCCTTCTCTTCTCAAAACACTCATTGTTTGCATATCTTTGTAATCGTTTACTATGATTTAGCCCTGGGAAATTACATTGATTTGGCTCACTTTCCTTTAAGTTCAATAATGAATGCTCAGCCCCAAAGCATCCCTGGTTGACGGACAAGGTATTTGATCCCCTGTGTTGTCCTTTTGATAGGAAAGTCCAAGTTCACCCACGCTTTGCTATACCCCAGCATGGAGCTGCAGCCAGCAAGTGAAGGTCTCCCTTTGTCACTGAAAGCCCGATGTTTCTCAGTCTCCTACACACTTTGTCTTGTTGTATATATTAACAAACATATTAGTAAGTGTTATCCCACGTTGAACCTTCAGCGAGGATGCTGTGTGCCAAGGAGAACCTTTCAATGAGGGCCTGGACCTAGGGAGAACGTGTTATAGACCCAGGGAGAACCCTCAGTGACTGTTGATCCAGGGAGAACTTTCAGTGAGGGTGGTATATGCCCAGGGAGAACCTTCAGAGAGGGTGGTATATGCCCAGGGAGAACCTTCAGAGAGGGTGGTATATGCCGAGGGAGAACCTTCAGAGAGGGTGGTATATGCCCAGGGAGAACCTTCAGAGAGGGTGGTATATGCCCAGGGAGAACCTTCAGAGAGGGTGGTATATGCCCAGGGAGAACCTTCAGAGAGGGTGGTATATGCCCAGGGAGAACCTTCAGAGAGGGTGGTATATGCCCAGGGAGAACCTTCAGAGAGGGTGGTATATGCCCAGGGAGAACCTTCAGAGCGGGTGGTATATGCCCAGGGAGAACCTTCAGAGAGGGTGTCCAGTAGAACCTTCAGAGAGGGTGGTATATGCCCCTTCAGAGAGGGTGGTATATGAGGGAGAACCTTCAGAGAGGGTGGTATATGCCCAGGGAGAACCTTCAGAGAGGGTGGTATATGCCCAGGGAGAACCTTCAGAGAGGGTGGTATATGCCCAGGGAGAACCTTCAGAGAGGGTGGTATATGCCCAGGGAGAACCTTCAGAGAGGGTGGTATATGCCCAGAGAACCTTCAGAGAGGGTGGTATATGTCCAGGGAGAACCTTCAGAGAGGGTGGTATATGCCCAGGGAGAACCTTCAGAGAGGGTGGTATATGCCCAGGGAGAACCTTCAGAGAGGGTGGTATATGCCCAGGGAGAACCTTCAGAGAGGGTGGTATATGCCCAGGGAGAACCTTCAGAGAGGGTGGTATATGCCCAGGGAGAACCTTCAGAGAGGGTGGTATATGCCCAGGGAGAACCTTCAGAGAGGGTGGTATATGCCCAGGGAGAACCTTCAGAGAGGGTGGTATATGTCCAGGGAGAACCTTCAGAGAGGGTGGTATATGCCCAGGGAGAACCTTCAGAGAGGGTGGTATATGCCCAGGGAGAACCTTCAGAGAGGGTGGTATATGCCCAGGGAGAACCTTCAGAGGGTGGTATATGCCCAGGGAGAACCTTCAGAGAGGGTGGTTGTTTGCATGTAGGTCTCTCCTAACCACTCCACATACTTCGGTTACCTTGACGTGTTGTGCAGGCTCCTGTGTCAGGTTAGGTCTGCGCTGGTGGGTTTCGACGGGTTTCTTCGGCATGGTTGTCCTCCCTTGTCGGGTCGTGGGTGCCGGGTTGTAGACCTGCTCGGACGTGAAGGTCCTTGATGGACTTACCTTGCCTCCGCGCAATCATTAGTGGATTTTGCGGGAAATTCTTCCAAGAAGGGTGGTCACTGTATGACTCCCTCATCCACGTCCATACGTCTTAGAGTTTGTGTTTTAGTTTCCCCGCAAAAACAGGAAAGAATAGGGTAGGGAGGATCCATCTCCTATCCTCTAACCGTGTGACCCGGGGCCTGAGACTTGTTATCTGGTCTTCCCGCGTAGTTTCTCCTGGGCGTGGTTCAGCGTTTCCTCAGGGTAACCTCTGCGCCTAACCATCTCCCACAGGTCGTCGTGCTGGAGGTTGTGGGTTTCGTCCTTGCTGTTTATTCTTTTAAGGCGTAATCCTAGGTAGAAGGGTAATGATTTCTTTATGGCTAGCGGATGGCATGAGTCGAACTTCAGGTATGCGTGAAGGTTCGTAGGCTTGCAATACGCCTTCTATATATATATATATATATATATATATATATATATATATATATATATATATATATATATATATATATATATATATATATATATATATATATATTACACGCAGAAATCACAATAGCGTAATGCATCAAATGAACAAATGCATATATATATATATATATATATATATATATATATATATATATATATATATATATATATATATGCCTCCAAACTCAGGGTGTTACCTTACACTAACATGATCAAATATTTCGGTATACAATATTCGCCTACACATACACATAAGACTTGAGTAAACTGCAGAAGCTCATGTGAGGCAGTTTTAATTAATATCCAACTACACACACACACACACACACACACACACACACACACACACACACACACACACACACACACACACACACACACACACACACACACTGGGGCCTCGTAGCCTGGTGAATAGCGCGCAGGGCTCGTAATTCTGTGGCGCGGGTTCGATTCCCGCACTAGGCAGAAACAAATGGGCAAAGTTTCTTTCACCCTGAATGCCCCTGTTACCTAGCAGTAAATAGATACTTGGGAGTTAGTCAGCTGTCACGGGCTGCTTCCTGGTGTGTGTGTGTGGTGTGGAAAAAAAGTAGTTAGTAAACAGTTGATTGACAGTTGAGAGGCGGGCCGAAAGAGCAAAGCTCAACCCCCGCAAACACAACTAGGTGAATACAACTAGGTGAATACAACTGGGTGAATACACACACACACACACACATATATATATATAATATAGATATAGATATACAGGAATACGACCCGCCAAATCGTTCAGCAACCAGGTACCCATTTTACTATTGGGTAAACAGAGGCTACAGTTAATGATTGATGCCCAGTAAATCCTCCCCGGCCAGGATACGAACCCAGGACAAAACGCCGGGCGAGTGTCTTACCATATCACCGTGGAGATTGCCTAATACCTTATAAGGAATACATTGGGAAATACCTTAGACGGAATGTGATTTGGTGAATATTGGCCAGAATGGAAAATACATGACAAGACGTTTAGGGCAACACAAATTTAGTGTTCAGACCGGACCTGATTGTAATGCTTTATTTAAGACAAGGCAGTATGTCTGAGCCAAAGTGTATGCCACAGGGTGCTCATCTGAGTGATTGATCTATTGAAATGAGTTTTGCCTATAGAAACTATATATCGACTGAGACATATTAGAATCGTGCCTAATAAAATATTGAAATAATATTTTAAACATTAGTCCTAGATTGTATATAATGGATTCATTTGTAGTTGCAAAGATTGTTTAAAAAATCATGTAAACTGTGTAAATTTAATTTATTATATTTACCCCCATGAAGGATGGTTGCAATTGCCAGATGGAGCTTAAATATTTTGTCTTTCATTTACTTTTCATTCTATTGCCGCTTTTCTTTTCTGTTAGTTTAATTATTATTTATATTGAAAGTGCTACATACCATCCATAAAAGATTTAGGATTTTTTGTAACTTACCTTTTTAAATAATGTTGGGATACAATTAATTTTGTCCAGTTTATCATTTAACATTAAACCTGCCTATGGTTGCCATGACCTGCATTGTGTGGAGTCAGCTCTGTCTCGGGGATTCTCTTGCCTCTTTTATTTAGATGTTTGTGATTTTGCATAAATTCGTGGTTCGTGTTTTTGCAGTTATTTATGGTTCAGACTGTGTTTTAGTTGTTAGTATATAGGATATGGTGGTAATTTTTTTACTAATTCCAGTCGGCCCATGTAGATAGCGCCGATGATCTGTGACACTTGATCTCTGAAGAAGCTCCTTACGGAGCAAAAGTGCTAAGATAATTTTCCCATTTGTAGGCTCGCCGCATCCCGGCATGTGCAAGGATTTGATGACAAACTGTACACAAGATGTATCGCAAGTGTTGCCGGGTAGTTGATGGTCATGGAGGTCGCGTGGAAGCATTTGAGCTCCAGGACCATCCACTACTTATAGGCAATTGATGGTGGAGCGGTTTTAGTACTGACAAGCCAGTTGGGTGACAGTTCTTTAACACTTACCAGTGTCTCTATACTTCATACATCACTTTATTCCCATGAGTACTTAGGTACAGTGCGACGATGGTGACTCCCTGGCAGTCTGAGTTCTCCCACTGTGATTTATCTTGCATGTCCTCATACACATTCCAGGTTGCCTGCTCCCAAACTACTCGTGGGTATTGAAACTTTTCCCCTTGATTTGAACAATTCTCCTTCTAAATTTGCAATTTCTTCCCTTTCCCAGTCAAGTCAGTGATTTCAATCTGACCCAGTCAGATGGCAATGTGCCCATTCCCAGCCCTGACCTACCCGCGGACCCATGCAACTTAACCTCTTGTGTACTCCCTGCCAGAACCCAGCTGTGAGATCCCTTCCCAAGACCCAGTTCGTCCTCAAGTCTGATCTCCCTCGGCCGCAGATACAACCCACCACCAACATGGAGACCTTGTCCATCCAGAGCCAGGTATACTGACGGCGGCGCCGACGCTGCTCCTTCCTCCTAAGGGAGCGGTTCCTCTATCTTCTTCTAAGGGTTCGCACCCCTCCTTCCCTTAGCTCACTCTTCAACTCTCTGGGAGTTTCTGTGGCTGCTGGATATACTAGTACATGCAGTATTGAAGCACCATTGCTGGCCCAGCAAGGCTGTTAGAATATCAACGTACTATAGTCAATGCATGAGGAAGATGTAACGTTGCTTGTGCCCCAGCATGAGGCAGTACTAGATTTCTATGATCACAAGACTATTATCCATAGGACTACTGACAATTACAATGTAAAAATAGTAAAATGTGAAAAATTAGCATTGCCAAGTTTAAGCCTTTTTGCTATGTCTGTGAGACAATTTATTTAATATTAAGGAGTTGCTAATAGAGCTGTTTTACACTATATTGATAGCTCTTTAGGTAATATATTGATATATGGCTACTGTAAGCTTGCCTGTTCAAACACCAGAAGTATGTGATATGTATATCATGTTGGGTGATGTGATAAACTAAGTGCCATCTTCTCATTTCTCTCTGGATATACTTCTCACCTCTGGCCCGCCAAGGCCAGGTGCATGCTTCACTTCAGTAATACAATTGTAAGTGCTGGTGTTTGGGGGCCTTAAATGTTATATAGTAAGGCATGAGTTTTGGTGTTACACAGGCCAGGTGTTGCACTGTAAGTAAGGGACTCTCAACAGCGCCCCGAATCGGGTGTTGTTGAAGGGTGCTAAGTGTGTGGGTGAGGTGTTGCGAGCACTCATGTGGTGTGTGTTGTGTCGTGCAGCCATACCGCACGCTGCCTCTTGTGCAGCCCTCAGCTAAGGTGCGTTCGGACCTGGGCGTGGGTAGTATCTCTCACCTCAAGATGCAGGATGACCACATCTCGGGGTTGAAGGAGCCACAGTATGTGCCACAGTCTCAGGCCTTGACGATCAAAGCCAAGCACGACGAGCTAATCATGAAACAAAAGGTACGGAGGCCCCCCGAGGCCGCCCTGTGGAGTGTGGAGGGTCGGGCAGAGGGAGAGGAGGAGGCCACGCCTAGGGGTTCTCATGGGCCCCAGGCAGGACACTTTGTTCAGGGGAAGCGGAAGGGGAGCTGGCCGCTGACACCAGCTCTGAGGGACAGTACCGGACAGAATACACTCATTAGTGGCAAGGAAAATCCCAGTAGTGATTTTATGAAGATTAACAAAACAACATTTAAAGTCGGAAGCGAGATAGTTCAATTAAAAAAGTCTAACAAGAACCAGACTGTCGTTAACAAAAGCGTCCAGACATCTAAGTTGAGGAAAGCCAGTGCCGGTAGCCTGTTAAGCGTGGACGATTATGAGCGGAAGGAAGCTGTGTACCGAGCAGGTCGGGCGGCGGCGGGCAGGAGTCGGTCTCTTGGGTATACTGACCACACCAGCAGGCTGCAGGAACTCTCTCACCATCACCTCCTCACGCCGGAGAATACCCAAAATCTCGACTACTATATAGACCCAGAATGCCAAAACCAAGAAACTGAGTACACAGTTGAATTACAAGTTCCTCGAGTGGAACCAACAGTTAACTCGGTGGAGGTGAATCAGACCATTAAACTTGCACCCCCTGCGCCTCCTAGACAAGAGTCTCGGTCCGTAGACATTGCTCACACGGTCAGAATTAAAAGGAATTATTACATATATTAGCGTATCTACTTTTACTAATGAATAACGAATTGACGTAGGCATTGACTGTGTTCATTTCACAAACTTATGTTCATATAGTAATCTTACGTTCAACCTTTTCTTAGATTATTTTATTTGTAAAATTCAGAGTTCATTTCAAATAGTCGCAAAATGACTTGTAAATCTAATGATTGTCCGTAAGCAAATAATGGACCATTTCTACAGGACCATCTCATTTTCAAAATTGGGTCGCTCTTGTTATTAATACAAAGTTGGCTGATCAGTTGATCACTTGGGATTATGGTTATAATATATATCTTTATTTTCCTTGCTTGGGAATTATTATGTAGCTCGTTGAGGTATAGACTTCATGGCACTCTGTGAACGACATTAGTGTTCAGTTAGACATGTACGGAATGGTGAGTATTAATGATAATAGAAAATATTTGTTATAAATATATCACACAAGCTTTTACTTCACGAAGTAAATTGTTTACAAAGCCATACAGCCATAGTGAAGGTGTCAGACTGCGGCAAGTTACCGAAGGTGAGCCTCAGGGGCGCCGCGGGAGTACATGCCAAGGTAACCCCAGTCAAGGATTCTGGAACCAGGAAGTCATGCGCACTTGTCCATAAGCACCTATCAGGGGCCTGAACCACGAAGCAGTTACGCAAGTACTTACGAACGTGTGCATCTTTCCTCAATCTTTGACCGCTTTGGTTACATTTATTAAACAGTTTACAAGCATGAAAACTTGCCAATCAACTGTTGTTATTGTTATAAACAGCTTCCTGGTGTTTCGAAGCTCATTAACTGTTTAATCATTGTAAACAAAGCCGCCAAAGATTGAGAAAAGATGTTCAGGTTCGTAAGTAAATGCGTAACTGCTTCGTGAATCTGGTCCCAGGTGACCTGGAGCCCAGGAAGTCACCGCACCTGTCCAGAAGCAGGAGACCGGGAGGGGGGAGGGAGGGAGTGGGGGGGGGGCCAGGGAAGTCACGTGCAGGTAAACGACACCTTCGTCGTGCTATAAATATCTCACTCGATATGCGGCCGTGACGTGATACGCCAGGCTGGTATATAGCATATGCAGGGTATGCATATAACATACGTAGGGCTTGTGTATAATACATGTAGTGCATCCTTAGAGCATACGTGGGTCATGCGTATAGCATTCGTAGGGCATGCGTATAGCATATGTATAACATACGTAGGGTATGTGTATAGCATACGCAGGACATATGTATAGCATAGAATGGCATGTGTATAGCACACGCAGGTCATGAATAGAGCGTGCGTAGAGCCTACGTAGGCAGTTAATAGAGCAAGTATAGTGCTTACGTAGAGTGTGCCTAGGGTTAGTGAGGAGCGAGCTTCAGGGGATATAAGAGACGTGAGGGGCGGGCGAGCCAATTACGGGCTATTCATGCCCGTGCCACCTCTTGGGTGGCTTAATCTTCATCAATCAATCGGCGAGCCAATGCCTGGGCGGATGGGATAGAGCAGGTTGGGTTGTTAGTGGCGTGGCGCCTCCTCTCCCTCTGGTGATTGGCGCATTTCTGTTGACTCCAATTTGCTCAGTTCCGCATTACCTAACCTTACTGCCTTGTCCCTGACAAACTGGCATCCATTGGTTCCCTCAGTATGTCCTATAGTATACTGTGTATGTCATGTTTGGGTGTCATATCATACTGCATACCAAGGATCGTCATACTCAACCTGATATTAAACCCATCAAGTGTTACAATTGTCTTCAGGCATGGTACATCGCGCTAAGTATGACGTATCTACTGTATGTATGTATGTATACTGAGCATGGCATATGTAACGTATTAGGTATGGCATACTTTGTACCATACTTGCTCAGGCAAACATATACATTAATATTTAAATATATGTTTTGAGTTTGTCATTAAGTTGAGTGAGGCGCACTTTGTATAATGCTCAGTGGGGTGCGTGTGCGCAGTGCGAGCGTGGAGTGTGATGCGTGTGCGCAATGCATGCGTATAGTGTGATGCACGTGCGTAGTGTGTGTGTGGTGTCATGAATGTGCGCAGTGCGTGTATAAAGTGTGATGGGCATGCGCAGTGCATGCGTTGAGCGATGTGAATGAGCAATGTGTGCGTGGAATGTAATGGGCGTGCGCAGCGCGTGGAGAGATGTATCTGCGCAGTGTCTGAAATGTGACGTGTATGCGCAATCCATGCGTGGTGCGTGTGACGTGTGTGCTCAGTGCGTGCATGGTGTGGTTCGCCTGACAGCTGGGTGGACAGGACTTCGGATTCGTAGTCCTGAAGTTCCGGGTTCGATCCCCGGTGGAGGCGGAGACAAATGGGCAAAATGTTTCTTTCACCCTGATGTCCCTGTTACCTAGCAGTAAATAGGTACCTGGGAGTTAGACAGCTGCTACAGGCTGCTTCTTGGTGGTGTGTCACAAAAAGGAGGCCTGGTCAAGGACCGGGCCGCGGGGATGCTAAGCCCCGAAATCATCTCAAGATAATCTCAAGATAAGATGGTGTGTGACATGTGTGCGCAGTGCGTGCGTGGTGTGTGACGTGTGTGCGCAGTGCGTGCCTGTAGTGCGACGTGTGTGCGCAGTGCGTGCGTAGTATGTGACGTGTGTGTTTGTAGTGTGACGTGTGTTCGCAGTGCGTGCACGGTGTATGACGTATGTGCGCAGTGCGTGCCTGTAGTATGACGTATGTGCGCAACGCGTGTTCTTGTGTGTATAGGGTGTAGATAATTCACTGTACGTCTCACACACTTTGTATGCACTATTTCTAAACTCTCAAAGGAACGCCTTGTACTTCTAGACCTGCCCAACTGAGAGAGAGAGAGAGAGAGAGAGAGAGAGAGAGAGAGAGAGAGAGAGAGAGAGAGAGAGAGAGTGAGTGAGTGAGAATTTATATATATATAAACTATAAAATAATTATTACGTTGCTGGCAGGGACTTTTGGTGGATTGGGGTGAGAGTATTATACAAAGTAGGAAGGCTGTGTGCCGCACAGTATGGCTGGTGTAGCTTCACTGTGGGGGCGGCTGGCCTCACCAGACACACACACACACCATCTCGGGGCGCTTGGGGGCGGTCCCCTGCTTGTTGATGCTGCTACTGCTGCAACACCTGGAATGGTACTCTTGCTGCTACACCTGCCGTGGTAATGTTGCTGCTACACCTGCCGTGGTAATGTTGCTGCTACACCTGCCGTGGTAATGTTGCTGCTACACCTGCAGTGGTACTCTTGCTGAAACACCTGCCGTGGTACTTTTGCTGCTACACCTGCAGTGGTAATTTTCCTGCTATACCTGCCATGGTACTTTTGCTGCTACACCTGCAATGGTACTCTTGCTGCTACACCTGCAGTGGTACTCTTGCTTCTACACCTGCAATGGTACTCTTGCTGCTACACCTGCAGTGGTACTCTTGCTTCTACACCTGCAATGGTACTCTTGCTGCTACACCTGCAGTGGTACTCTTGCTGCTACACCTGCAGTGGTACTCTTGCTGCTACACCTGCAGTGGTACTCTTGCTGCTACACCTGCAGTGGTACTCTTGCTTCTACACCTGCAATGGTACTCTTGCTGCTACACCTGCAGTGGTACTCTTGCTTCTACACCTGCAATGGTACTCTTGCTGCTACACCTGCAGTGGTACTCTTGCTGCTACACCTGCAGTGGTACTCTTGCTGCTACACCTGCAGTGGTACTTTTGCTGCTACACCTGCAGTGGTACTCTTGCTGCTACACCTGCAGTGGTACTCTTGCTGCTACACCTGCAGTGGTACTTTTGCTGCTACACCTGCAGTGGTACTCTTGCTGCTACACCTGCAGTGGTACTTTTGCTGCTACACCTGCAGTGGTACTCTTGCTGCTACACCTGCAGTGGTACTCTTGCTGCGACACCTGCAGTGGTACTCTTGCTGCTACACCTGCAGTGGTACTTGTACTCTTGCTGTTTCAACTAGAATCGAACTGAAAAGACAAGCAGCTTGTCATATATATATATATATATATATATATATATATATATATATATATATATATATATATATATATATATATATATATGGTCTCCACAAGGTCTTCTATGAGCACTCTTTATTTTCTTCTTATACTGACACACACACACACATACACCATGTGTATGAAGGGTCGTTGCCAGGGGAGTAAACTGGTGATTCACATGACCACAATACAACTGGCAGGAGGGTGAAGCCAGAGCGCTGAAGTGACGTGGGCGGCACAGCCCTAACTAAGGGCTCCCACGCTGTTCAGCCCTCAAAGCCTCGGTTCCGGGGCGCAGTGGGTAATGAGTCC